CAAAACCTGTAATGCCAAGAAAAAGGACAGTTGCCATTTCAGTCACTAAGTCCACCATCCTATTGCAAGCAGTCAAATCTCTCTATTTTAGCTGCAACCAGTTCTGAGAGAGACAGAACCACTATTTCATTTCTATGATGAGTTCTGACCAGCTTTGATCATGTAGTTTTCTTTGACCCAGTTGAAGACGAGCTTAGACGAGCAATAAAAACAGCAACGGCTATGTGAGCGAGACAAGTGTGCCCGACGGTGCCAGCTTTGGATCATCCCAAGAAAAAGATACAATGAAAAAAATAACTTCATTTTCCTTCCCAGGATCCAGCTATATCTGACAATTTTTAATTAGTACAACTGCACTTTCCAAAACAGAAAGAATCCAAAAATGGAAGAGGGATGAGTTTGCAGATTTAGTACTGAAAAGGATGGTCTTAAAGTCATTTCCTCACTAATAAATAGTAAGGCTTGGTTTGTAACCAGTTATTATCAAAACTGACCATATAGCAATAAAATACAAATAAAACTGTCTATGTCAGAACAGGGGCTATGCATTTGGAAAGGCCAGACCAGGTCAATGCATACTGGAATGACCCCACTGGGATGCTTTGCTGAACAAGCACATTTCACAAACTGTTAAAACAAAAAAATCTTCTGAGACAAATTTGTGATCTGAAGTAAATTTTAACAGCTGCTATGCCACTGAAGAAAAAAAAAAGTATCTTAAAAAGAATGAAAGCCTTTTAAGAAATGGGACACTGTATCTCTAACTTCTGCGAAGTTCCACGATGGTTCCCAGTACAGGCCAAAGTCTTGTTAAATCAAGTGCATGCATTATTGCTAAAGAAGAGTCACCGAGGGTCCAAACTCTGTTCGCTGTTTCCTATGGGGCCATCCAGAATGGCATCTGTTGTTTAGCTCGTGGTTGTGATGATGGGTATTGATACCCCAAACTCCAGCCCTGTGGAAAACTACTTGCATTTTTATGACCTCCGTGTTCCTCCTCTTCGTCCGATGAATCTGCAGCATAAGCCACCAAGCCAAATCCCTTCTCTGTAGTTTTCATCTTCTTGACTGGATAATCTAGAATGAAAAAAAGAAAAAAAAAAAACCCAACCCCATTCCCCAACAAGGGAAAAAAAAAAACCATAAATTCGTTAATTAAAAAAAAAAAAAAAAAAGATGTTAATTTTAAGTGGTTAGTTGGACACCATTTTGAGGTCACAGGGTCAGTGGTCACCCAAAAGCGTTGAAGATCACACGAAAAACAGCACCAGCATCAGCAAATGTGAATCCACCAGAACCATGTAAGAAAACAGAGAAAGAAAAAAAGAAACACACACACACACACAAAATAAAAAAAAAAAAAGAAAAAGAAAAAAAGAAAGAAAAAAAAGGAAAGTTAGCAAGTGAGTCTCTGGAGGCTGACATTTTCACCTTTTAAAGAGTTTAAAGAAAAGAAGAAAAGAAAAAAATGTATTTTCTTCTGTTCATTTTTATTACGACTACAGGCAAGAAACAAAAACGATCCCATGCACCTCTAGAGTTCTGGGACACTAAGAAGCAACACTTTTGATAGTAGCCACAGGCTGACCATTCCCAACTAAGAGAGCTTTGAGGGGAGATGTGGCTCAGTTCTCAACACAAAAAAAAAATCAGTATTTAAGTCTGTATCAAATTAGCTCCAAGTATTTAGATGAGGCAGTAAAATTTTGAAACAACCTACCAATCATTAGTATTTCCTAGGGTTTAATGTCACTGATGTTATACATAAAATTTAAGTCAACTGATTCTTTTCTAGACACACGTTGGTTGAAAATACTAGTCTGTGTAACTATATGCTGTCCATATAAATAAAAAAAATCATTCTCATTAGACTATAGAGGTTGGATTAAACACCTAAATGAATCACACCTGAATGAACACTGGGTTAAAAACTAATAGCTTAAGGCTCCCCTCAGCCCCCCAATTATACCTTACTCACCATGGCTCCCTGTTAAGGTCCCAGACCCATTCCTTTCATCAGACTCTGTTTTTATTCCAGTCACTGGAAAGGCTGGCGGAGGCATCAACTGCCTGTTAAAAACACCACCACCAAAAACGAAACAAAATACCACTCAGATAAATTCAATTTTAAATTCTCCAGTAAGAACAACGATACAGTCTTTAGTTGATGTCTCACGTTCCTTTTCACCATTAATTTCAACCTTGTTACCTAACCCTCTGTCCTTCAAGATATTTTTTAGTTGTAAAATTACAAGGCCTTGTCTACATAACCTGGCCATGCCAGAAACAAAATGAATTGTTAGAGAAGTGAGGTCCCTTTTACAAAGGCTGATAATCATAGAGAAATGGAGAATTCAAGCACAGAATGGCAGGCTGGACTCCTGTTAAGAGTATGACTCTAAGTAGCAAAAATGGCTTGATTATGTAACTACTGCCTACCCTTTAAAAAAATAAGGGGCGGGGAGGGAGGCAAGGCCCTGGATGATGTGGCTCAGTGAACTGAACACAGCCCTGCAAACCAAAGGGTCCCCGGTTCAATTCCCAGTCAGGGCACATGCCTGGGTTGTGGGCCAGGTCCCCAGTAGGGGGTGTGCAAGAGGCAACCATATATTAATGTTGCTCTTCCTCTCTTTCTTTGTCCCTTCTCCTCTCTCTAAAAATAAATAAAATCTTTTACATTAAAAAAAAAAAAAAGGGGGTCAAGATGCAGACAATGAAAGTAAAAGAAGATGCCTGAATAAGCAAGCACTGAATTATTCAATGTTACATGTAACTGCTTCTAAGACTGGGGAAGTCCTATTATTGCACTTTTCACTACTGCATCAATTGTAACAGGAGTGTGTTTGATCCAAGTGATTTCATTTGTTTTAGAACATGGAAGCTCGTAGCAATGATCATTATTTACATTAATGGTGCAAACAAATGACATATGGATATATTCTTATAATTATTTTCCAACGAACTTACCTGTCCCTCTCTCGCTCTTTGCCTGAGGAACTTGCTGGCTTCGATCCTGCACCTTCAATCTCAGTCTGACTGGAGAAGCCTGTACCTAAATTAGTCATATGAATGGGTCCATGCTATGAGCAGAAAAATACAGTGGCATTAGCAAATCTACAACTGCTGTATTGACTTTAGCTCCTTAATGTAACTGTCAAGTGCATCTTTCTGATAAACTGCAGTGAGCTGAACTACACAGCTCCGTGAGATCTGGAGCATAACTACAGTCCAGAGCATATCTAGAGCATAAAAGTAGAGATTATTTTTCTCTTTTGGGATGGTCAGGAATGTTGTGATTCATTTTGCTAAGTCCATTTGTTTTCCACTATCCATAACTTAACTGGTTTGTTTAAACCTAGTTATAAACTATAGAAATACTTCAAAGTTTATTTCAAAAGAATGCTTCAAGGATTCTGGCAAAAAGTAATGGAGCCTCTCCTGATAAAACAAAATGCATCAAAACTACATATTTTAATAATCTTTTAAAAGACTTTTTAGTGAGTGACTGTGTTTACAATTATGTATATGCACAGAATCACTGCGTTTCTGGCACTTTTTTTAGGGGGGGAGCACTGCAGGAAAGAATATCACCCTCTTTTAGAGAATAGTAAACCAAAAGCCAAGGCTTTATATATAACCACATATTGAGCTATACACATCAGTGAGATGTGCAGCAAAGTAAGAACTATCAGAAGCTTGCAAGAGTATGAAAAAGAGAAGCACAAAATTCTACAGAACTCCTTCCAAATGCTAGTCAGGACAGCTCTCTAGGTGGAGAGTTTTGTATGCTTCAAAGACAAAACCCACACAAAAGGAGTCGCTCTTGCTTTAAATTAATCTCCCTAGGATAAAAAACCTAATCTAAATAGATTCCAGAAAGCAGGAATCCTACTATTGGGAGGACAGTTGATATAGATGTGAATTTATCTTCCTTTAAAGGGAAAATATCGAGTAAGATTAGGAAAATAAGACAAGGTATTTTATTTAACCTGGTATCCAAGAAGTCCAGATTCTCGTTCATCTGGCAGCTCTTCTGTGAATCTCCTCTTTTGTGCCTGGGGTTGAGTTGGGAGTGGGGGCTGGGGCTGGGGCTGGGGCGGGGGTTGGGGGCCAGCAGGCAAGGCAGTTTTGACAGGAGCAGCAGGAATAAAAGGCCCACTCATCGGACTCTGGGACAAAAACAAACCAAGAGGAAAATGGTGTGAGAATCCCTAGCAAAATAAACAATGATTACAATACACTTCAATGACCAACATATAACACATGAATCTTTTACCTTCTGGTCCTTAGTTTCCTTCATGTATAATTTGCTAACAATGTTACCTAGTCTTTTCCACCTTTATGGTAGGGAAACATTGATCATCTCTCCAGTGCTTTTAACCCTCAGGAAAAACTCGCTGTGCATTCGTGATATTAGGATCAAACATTCCCACTAACAAACAAAAACTCCAGCCACTTACTTAGTTCAGAAGTTAGTGAGCAAGAACACTCTTACTTAGAGCCCTTCAGTGTGACTAGCTTTCTGGACCATAAATTTTGCTAAATGTTTGTGGCAAAGGCAACTCACCTACCATTTCCATGGATGAGTTATATCAATAGCAAGTCTGTCTACTCTTTTAAGAGGTTGTTCCAAAGAGGAACAAGGGGTTATCAAAAGACAGTACATATTAAAGAAGCACATTTAAAAGAAAAAGTCTTATGAATGACAAATGGCTAATATTTACTGAATACCTGGACCATCTTACTTAATCCTTGCAACACTTATTGAAATGTTATTATGCCCATTGTATATAGAAGGAAAACTGAAGCCTGAATAGGTTGTTATATTCCAACAACACAAAGCTCAAAAATAATTACTGTTATACTGTTTTCTAATTACAAAAGAATATGGCTCAGAGCCAGAGAACTACACAGTATAGAGTTCTGCCTAAACATCAAAGGTAAAGCAGTATGACTAGGGACCACGACAGAATCCAGTCCAGAAGTCCTTTTTTGTTTCACACTGTACAACCACCTTCAGTGCTCACAGCCCAGAGAAGGAGGCTGGGCAATGGTTCGAGGCTGCAGTTTACTCTGGCACGGGTGTACTGTGAGAGGCCCATAGGGAAGGGCCCACCACAAATCCATTACCGTGCTCTCTCATTCATCTCTCCTCTGCCTCTAACAATTGTATATAATGAATCTAAATGAGCCTAGCTGCCTACTATCCCTTAAATTCTGGTTTCTTATAGTTTAAGAAACATACACCAGCACTTATTTTTTTAAAAATTTATTGATATGAGAGAAACATTTATTTGCTGTTTCACTTATTTATGCACTCATTGGTTGATTCTTGTATGTACCCTGACGAGGGATCAAACCTGCAACCTTGCTGTATCAGGACGACACTCTAACCAACTGAATTACCCAGCCAAGGATACACCAGCACTTAACAATCCTTAAGTTTGGTGAGTTCACACATATCTTGACCTAGGAACACCTGTATATGGTATTATTTCCAAGAATAGTAATTCTGTTCCAATCATCTAAAGGTGTACTATAGGCCAGCCTCCTTCTCTTTGAAGACTATCTTTTAACACTGTAAAGCCAGGCACAGGCAAATGATGGCTATAGTAGAGCACGCTATGATTCTGGCCTGCTACCTGTTTTTGTCAACCAAGTGTGACTGGCACACGGCCATGCACATTCACTGGGTACCGTCTGTGGCTGCTTTTGTGCTAGAACAGCAGAGTCGCAGAAGCTGTGACAGTGACCAAGTGGCCCACAAAACCTAAAATATTTACCATTGGGCCCTTTGTAAAAAGCTCACCAATTCCTGTTCTTACCTATAAGGTGGCAAGACTTGCCAACTCCCACTCTTAACTATAAGGTGGCAAGACTTAACTGTGAACTTCAAGATGAATCCACACAAATATACTATTCTCAAATAATCAGGTACTTTGATGGTAATAACACAAGAAAATAATAGGAAAACAATACCTCACATCACATACGACTTCTGAACAATACCACCACTTTTCTACCCCTTTCCTGCCTGTTTTCCTAATTCGATGGTATCATGTTTCATGTCCTGGCATCTTACCTGTCCAGTGCTAGCTGGAGGCTGCACTTGTGTTATCGGGTATTGTGTTGGCACAGGTGCAGGTGGGACTCCAGTAGGTAATGCTGGCAAGACTCCAGGTGCCAATGAAACAGCTGGTGGCACTATGTTTGGTACTCCATAGGGAGGCTGAATTGGCTGCTGAGGAGGGGGAACAACAGGGTAACCAGACTGATAGCCATTGGATGGATAATATGGTGGCTGAGGAGGGACACTACTTATAGCAGAGGGTTGTGTATAGCCTGAGGGGGAAGAAAAAAAGTGTTTAATCAGCTGCAGCAGAATGAGACATTTTAGCTGAATATTAAACTTAATCTCTAGGGAAGAAAAATACTAAGATTCAAATGGCTTTCCAAATTACCCTAAGATGAAGGGAACAATATTAGTGCCCTGGCACAGTTAGTCTAGCCTTAAGTATCATTATTTTATTCATAAACATGACTAGCAAAATATTTTTTAGTTAAATACTTTAAGACATACACACCTGGTAAAGGTACAGCAGTATTAATCTGATTCACAAATCTAGAGTATTCAGCATGAACCTGAACAAGAAGGAAAAACAAATTAGTATGGGACAATCCTAATTTACTGAGTATTTATAAGGGATCTAATTATACCATTTGAGGACCAAAGCAATATGGAATTAAAATATTTCCAATGATGTTTCAAATGTAAACTTGTTTATTCTTTTGTTTACTGGGTGACCCATTCTCGAGGAGCTCCTGGTGTAATAAATGTTTAGTACTTTCCCCTCTCTGGTTCTCCATTACAAGCATTTCATTTAGTCCACAACCTCAAGTGGCAACAAAGAAAAAGACAGGGAATGGTCAGGGAAGCCATCTGGTTCAAGGGCTGGTAGATCAGGTTACTTTACAAAAGCAAAGAGAACAACAGCATCCCAAAAAGGCACCCTTCAGTGTGATGTAACACAAGGTGGAAGACATTCAATCCCCAAATCTGATTTCCTTCAGGTGCTACAAAAACAGCCCCGTGGTTTAACTTTTGGTTATTTGCTTAGACAACAGAGAGAAGGGATAAGCAAATAAGCAATTATCCTAAAGGCACTGCTAATTGGTTTTAAGCTATTACAGTTCTACACTTACTTTAGCTAAAGCTAGTATCAAAAAGAATCTAGAATGCCCATCCTAATGACTTAACCAGGATTAAAAGCATTAATCTAAATAACTGACAACACTGATATTTTATGGAACTAATGCACTATAGGTTCAAAATCCCACACTGAAACAGTTGCTGAAGAAGAAATGCATGGCCACTGCGCACCTGGCCAGGGAAGCGTTTTGGATAAACAGAATGTTCATTGCTACAGTGGTACAGTAGTTTGAGTAGTGTCCCCCCAAAATCCACGTATACCTAGAACCTCAAAATATGACTGTATTTGGAAACAAGGTTTTTGCCTGAAGATTGTTAACATGAAGTCATACTGGACTAAAGGGCATCTTAAATTCAAAGACTGCTACCCTTAGAAAGAGAGACACAGAGAAGATGAGGGCAGAGACCAGAATCACGCTGACACAAGACAAAGGGTGCCGAGGACTACAGGCAGTCACAAGAAGCTAGGGGGCGTGTGTAGGATGGGTTCTCCCTCAGAGCTTTCAAAAGCAACCAGCTCTGCCCAAACCTCGATTCTGGACTTGTGGCCTCCTAAACTCTGAGAGAATAAATTCCTGTTGTTTTAAAGTCACCCAGTTTGTGGCAGCTGTGTGGGGCAGCCAAGGAAACTAACACAGGTGGGAAAAACAGCTAAGATACAGTCCAAAGGGGCAGTAGCTGTTCTGAATGAATATGAGGCAAATAAATATACCTCACCGTTTGCAAGAGGTTCTCACAGAGCTTCTTGGCAGCAGCAAGGCCTTCTGGTTTGGGATGACTGCAAAGAATTCAGAACCAAGAATTCAAAGGGAAGAAAAGTAAAAGATACAGGATTCTTTCACTTTGTATGCTGCTTTATAAACTTAATATATTCAATGTAGCACAAATACAAGCCTCTAAAAACCACAAAATAGAGACAGAGAATAATGTTATAAGCTCTTTAAGGTGAAACTAGTATCAATACCACATTATTTTACTGGTCTTTCTCTGAGTAACACTACTTCTTGATATTAAGGAGACATTTAAAAATATTGTAACCAGTGTCACCCCAATAAATTCAAAAAGAAAAAAACACTTGTGATAGCTTTCAAAGTTATTGTAGATTCGGAACAGATCATTTTAGGATCAGACTTGTATAAAACCCAAAGACCTGAACACTAAAAAAAGATAATCTATCTCCTAATCCAACAGTTTTTATTAACTAACTATAAAATGACGTCTACTAGTGTTAACTTAAGCTCCTCGTGTTACTACTTATTAAGACCATTTTTCTCAAACTCCTTCCGAATCATTGCTGCCTTTACTGCTAAGGTGACAAGAATTCAAAAGTTCTCAGCCCCAGCCATCCATACCTGATGTAAATATACATAGGTTCGAAAGCTTCTCGGCCAGATGCTGGCTCAATGCAGCCTGAACCCTTGCCTCGTAGGAAGACTTTGGCACCTGTTTCAATCTGAATGTGCTGCAAATAGGAGCAGCCCGGACCTTCTACCTTCTCTTTGACATTAAAAGTGGGCACGGCATGTTCCAGACCCACAAATAATTTATCTTGAACATAATGCATCTGTAGAAGAACAGAACACCTCCAGTTAAACAGAGAATACATAAAATTAAGTCCTAATCTTGAAAATTATTACACAAGAATTTAATTCTCCAGATACTTTTAATCATTTCCAGAATAAGGACCCCCTATAATTTCTACCGAGCCCATAAAAACAAACCCCATCAAGTAGCTTAACTTAAATGAGAACTATAGTCCACATACCTACTTACAACACTAACACCTTACTCTGTTCAGCAAAATCTATTTAAGATGTGAAAATCCAAATCCAACACCAAGTAAACATACCCACCACTTCCTCTCAACTGATATACATTAAGAAATTATAGCGAAGACAGTTTCCTGTAAAACTGGAGTAGAATGTTGGGTAGTACAGTCAGCCCTGTAATATTCTCCAGTAAGGGCTGCTCTCTCCAACCCTTTTTTCTAGGAGGATTGTATCAGCAGAGTCTCGCTTTATCAGATTCTGCCTTCTTAGTCCTCCAGTTGCCACTGAGTCCACATACGCAAATTGAAACCACTAATTTCAAATGTACAATGTGCATACTCTTTGATGTATCAAAATCCCCTTTCTGGCATATATCAGGAGGAAGAGATGTGTCCTCACATGTCCGCTACATCTTGGAAACCTAAATGATGATTATGGTATCAATATGGGTAACTTTCAGGACAGAATTTCAGAATTTAATTTTTTTCTTCATATTTGCTGTATTCTATTTCACATATATCATTTTCATAGAAATGGCAAAGCTGTTAATGAACGCTCTCCACAAAACATACCCCTGACTGGAAGGGAGGCTTCTGGCTAACAGCTGGAGACAGCTGCGCAATGGGCGCTGGCTGGTGATAGACAGTGACCGTCGCACCATTAAACGTTGGACTTGTCCCTGTGGCAGCCTTCACCACCCCATTGGTGATAATTTCTTTGATTCTGTTTACAGCTCCTAGGGAAAAACAGAGAATAAGATTCTATACCAAAGAAATGAACGAACTGACTAGTACCCAATGATAAACACAGATCAATACTCAATTATTCCATTAGTATTAATCCATTTTATAGGTGACTCAAGTGTTTGGCTCCCAATTGCTAAACCCCTAGGTACAGTCATGAGTAATTCATAAACAAGATTACACACAGCCCAGTACTTCGCCTTTCACAAAAAGTGTGTATGAGCCAAAAACATTACTTACTGTCCACTAATTCCCGCGTCTGGCCCTGAACATGAAGATATAATGGACGATCCCTACAAAGAAAAAGATAAATGATCCTAAGCTTGTCATAACCAAAGGAGGAGCTAAATGAGTTACCAAAACTAACTGGTAACATTTAAAGTTTCCAGATCAGTGAAAGGGACTGTAACAGT